CATTAGAAACACTTAAATAGTCTTTTAGAGGTTACGTGACCTATTTATCTATTGTTCATCTTGACACAAAAGTGATACAATATGGGCATCAACAGGTGTGCCACACAAAAACAATGAAACACAATACATAAAAGAGAAATTGAATAGTTAGCGAAAAGTATCTTGAAAACAAGTAGGCAAACTTATCAGGAACACGTAAAGAGCATTCATCACTTCATGCTAGTTTCAGAAGAATGGGAGAGGAGGAAACTGCAGTATGCTCACCATTGATAACGATCCTCAGCCACATCTGATAACGTCTCTAACCACTGAGTCTGATTATATCTCGGCTCACACCGAGGTAGGCGTTGGTGCACCAACAGACACAAACCTAATACAACCATCCTTTACCCCCCCCCGCACATTTTATAGCGTTTAACGCGACACCAGTCGCTTTGGATGCTATAGTGTTCCCGGACAAGCGTAAGTGGGACAAGCTATTCAGTCTAACACATGGAAAAGGTATTCGGGGTATCTCCGCTGGAACTTTGTATGTCGGTCTCCGAGATGCAGCATATATCATTACAGAGACGTCGCAGGGTTCTACTTTGATTTGAATACAGTCCAATTTGCATCACTGTGGGAACATTGTAGGTCACAAGCTTGAACACAGCACACGGTTTCAAAATAGATGTGTTATGTATCACATGGGAGGTGAGTTTCCTGAAGGTAATTAATTAGAGAAACTTGAAACGGTGAGAATATGCTGACATTTCAAACAATAACGGACGGTTGATCCAAATAAAATGACTCAAATATAGGAATAAAAAATATAATGATAATGGATAGAATAGCTGGAGTGATTTTTGAGTGCGGGTGTGTGTAGACTTCTCCATTGATTTAGGGCTGAAATACATCCTGGACGCCAAAATTTTATCAGGTGGTTGTCTCAAGGGACCAGTTTAGAACATGGAAATGAAATCTGGTCTGCAAGGCAACACATAAGCATAAGAAGTTACATTAACATGGTTTCCGATTCTGGAGCCCATGAGTACCATAGGTTCAGAGTCAGGATTTTCCATCTCCCCTAGATGGACGTCCATATTCAACAGTTTGATGAAAAGTGCCAAACATTCGTCCTCTCTCTCCCCGCCTCATGAAAGTATAGGCTAGGAATGCATAACCATATTTCATAAGGAAGGTCAAAGTCTAGCCATCCTCGAATATATCAGTTCTGGCTGGCTGGATTCAACATAGAACTTGGCACCGAAGTGGGGCAGTTCGAGTTGCCACGTTATATTTGGCAAAGTGTCCTAACATTAAATGCCCCTATATGAAATTGGTGGCGTGGCTTTAGGAGACTATCGATGGTGGTTTTTTGGCTTCCGTCGTTTTCAGTGCACACATAGTGAAGGGGAAGTGAAGAGCCAACAAGTAGAGGAGTTGCATTGGTAGAAGGAAGGCAAGATAATAGAGATGAAGACAAAGATGAATGAGGATTAGAGAGGTTTCGCGTGCACTTCGGATTGTGAGGGCGATTGTTACTTCCCTGCTGCCCATACCGTAGAAGTTGGTTGCATGACCGCAGAGCCCAGGGGACAACTGCTTGAGGCCGGTCACACGCGGCCTGTTTTTGTTTGTTGTTTTTCATTTGGTGTGTCTCAGTAGCATATTTATCACTTCTGCCCTGTGACATGGCAGCAGAAAGCGCGGTCGTTGTTAATCCGGGCCCCGACCGATCCGGCATGATATTTTGTGGATTTGTTTGAATCATTGTGTTGGATTGGGTAGCTGCTTTTTGTCTAACCGCTATTCAAACAACCTTTCTGGCATGGTAGAACCTACAGGAACATAAGTTCCAGCCAGTGTAGCTCGTTGGGTCACTGCGATATGCAAGCCCGACCACCACGTCAAGGTAGCAGCTTTCGGTCGGGATATCGGTTCACCAGTTTCCTAGTACCTTCATTGTTTGAGTATTAGTAAGAACTCAGTGAAATATTCATGAATGCACTTCATCATTTCACTGCTGTCTTCCAACTATTCTCTAAAACCTATTTTTCTTTGTACATTATATATCATCCGGTCTTAGTTATTATTTACCTAAATGAATCAAGATGGATTATTTTATTCTCTGAATGATTTAGTAGTGACAAAAACGTCTCTGAACTATTAATCACTGAAAATGCTAAAAACATCACAATTCCAACAAATTACAAAAACACGTTACAACTGGTTAGACAGTATATGTGCTTTATAATCCTTAATGATTCATTTGCATTTACATTTTGATAGTCTAAACACCCTTTACTCTCCTTAATATGCATATTCATACACGTTGTATATCTCATGTTATTCATTTGACTCAATATGTATGCCGTCATGTGAATTGGTTGGGCTGTAATTTCACTTGACTTCAGAGAAAAAGACCAAAATAACTCACTAAAACCCAGTTAAAAGGATAACTGAAGTTTTCATCAACCTATAATGCGTCAGTGGTTCAGAGGTGGATCCCTCACCAACCACGCATGTGGTTCGGGATTCGATCCTTGGCCGATACACTCCTAAACCTCAATGAGCAGGTAGTAAGTCCGTAAGGAAGTGGTGAGGCTGTCAACCCCATCCCGTAAAAATAAACACCACTGCTACCGAAACTTCAAAGCTCTAGTTTGAAGCCCCCTATGTTCCACTGAGAACGTAAGGGAATAAAACCAATAATAATAATACGACACTGAGTTCTAAGCTCATATCTTCGACTGGTACCGATCAACAACAAAACGGAAGATGTATTTATTCTTCATTCACTATTATTCCTAACGAATAAGGAATACACACAGAAATATTTGATAAATTCACATGAAACCTATAACAACCACATCATAATCGTCGAAAGCCCTATATGATGAAAAGCTAATACGATGCAATTTTAAAGCATAATTATGTAGAATTTCTAGTTGTGTTTTTTCCTGTCCAATTTTCTTTTCATCTAGAAATAAGAATAAAATGTAAATTGTGTTGGAAGCTATCCTTGATCTCTATGCTGCACAGTAATAGTTCCAAGTCCCATATATTCATCAAAGTGGAGTTTAATTCATTGATCTAGTGGTAAAAGGATTTGTTTGAAAGGAATACGTGTAAAAGACTAGCATCGAATCCTAGTTTAGGGATCATCAAGTGTGTTGACCACTTCACTTATTTGGGGGATTGAACTAGCCCTTTGTATTGATTGTTGACGAAATCTAATGTCGGATACAAAAGACTCGCCGGGTATTTGTCAACTTCCGTTATCTTTGGTTTAGGACCTGTCACTGTGTAGTAGTTCGCCCTGTCAGCTTTCGGGGCTATAAGACGTGGTTGCTGGAAGTGAAGGATAGGAATAGACCGGTTGTCTTTGACCGTGGGTGTCTGCGTTCTGTATCTTGCGTTAGGTGGTATATGGTCTGTAATAATGAGGTCAGGCGTAGGGTGTTAGTTAGGGAGGGAAATCAATCGATGAGACTGTGAAGCTGCATGGATCAAGTTAGCTAGGACATGTGTTACGCCTTCCAAGCCACCATCTTCCTCGTCGACCAATATCAGGTAATTTAGGATTGGACTGTCAAAGAGTTAGGGATAGTCAAACCACGAAATCTACGACTGTTGGTTTGAGTCAAGTTAGGGAGATACAGACTGTTAGACTGGGGTCTTCAAGACACTAAGAATAGCGGAATATACTCGTACGATCATGGGAAAAATTAAAAAGACGGTTGCAGTGAAGAAAATTTTCTTTTCGACACAGTCACCAACTAGGTTGTATGTATATTCGTGTATATATGGTAATGGAGTGAGGAAGTTCCCGAACTGTTTTCAGTCGAGAGGCAAATTATAACGAATAACTAGATTATAAATAGAGATAAAAAGATTGCACACTAGTCAGTAACCAGTGTAATGCATCTAGTCCTATCTTCGGTGCAGACTGAATTCTATCAGTCATGTTTGCAATGTGGCCACCATGCTAGGTGGCTCGCCATTACGGTGCACTGTGAATTATTGGTATTAGATGGTTGGAGGCAATCGGCAGGAAGCCTTGGACCTAGGTTTCGTGCTAGTTGGCACTCAGCAGCAAGGCGTATCTGCGACCTTGAAGGAACTGATGTCCCTTCAAGGTCGCAGATACGCCTTGCTGCTGAGTGCCAACTAGCACGAAACCTAGGTCCAAGGCTTCCTGCCGATTGCCTCCAACCATCTAATACCAAGAGATAAAAAGAAGGTAACAGTAACAAAAATAGATAGGAGGTTCGGATAAAAAACATAGTCGGATATTAATTATTGAGAAAATTGACTGTCCATGATGGTCATAGTAAAGACAAAGACTGGATGTACTTCTTTCGAATATATTTATAGTTTTGGCTTTGAGGTTTTGGATCACTAGTATAGTTCAGCTTTGCATAGATGTCTTGATCCCATTCCCTTTAGGAGATTCAATCGAATTTGTGTAGAACTTTTGAAACAGAGCTGAGTGTCTTGAATTCACTAAATGTTCTGTAGCCGAGCTACAAACATACCTACATTATCCGTTTGCTAGCCAGGCTGGACAGTGTTCCCGAGAATCAACGTTTGAAGAATATCGGTGACATGGATCAAAAGTAAAACAATTGGGTAGAGAAAGAGGATAATTACCGAGTCTTTTATTTTACCAAGTCAACACCAAATATATACGATATAAACGATGCAACATCTGTTCCGGATATATGGATCATATTCGAATTTTAAAAAAAAGGTCGGGTGCGAGGTGCTTCAAATGTAATCCATATTACTGTGTGTATGTGTGCATTATATCAAAACGGACTTATCTAATATTACATAAATACTTGTTGGTAGCACGCACAACAATTTACGCTAAAATATGTCCCTACTATATTGGAATGAATACCAATCATTTCGATGTAAACTGTTCAACTAGTGACCACCACCAGAGGATATCCACTTCAAAGTGAAAAGCAACAATGCATTATACTTTTCATCATGAAGAGATTGATTATGTCACCTATTCAAATTCAGTACAACAATGAATCAAGAAAGTGTGTAATGTGACAGCAGCATCATCATCTGTTAAGTGAGTGAGATGCAAAATGAAAGCATGACAATTGTGGAATTCACTTAAAACCGTAAAGTATAAGTAATTTTTAGAAAAAACAACAACAACAACAACAAACAACCAATTTCTGAATCAATTGAAAAAAAGAAAAAAGGATAAAGATAGTCGTGTTATAAATTATTAATATTATTATTATTGAATATTATCAGTAGTATAATTACATGACAGGAGATAAAATTATTCTTGTATATATATATATATATATATATATATATACTTTCATGATTAAATGCTCTTAAGAGTTCTGTGATTGCATTTCTCAGTTCCTATAACCAACTGTAAAACTTCAACTTTCACAACAACAATAACAATAATAGTAACAATAATAGTAATAATAACGGTAACAACAGCCAAAAAAGAGAATAAAAATGCAACTACCGGCAAGAATTGTCGGAGGATTGCATTCTATTTGAAAATCTCAAAGAAAATAAATAAGCTGTGAAGAAACAGAAAGATTTAAAAACCTTATTCACAAATGAAGCATTCGGCAGGAAATAACCAGATGAAAGGATACAAGGTACTTGATTTCCCTTTTGTTCTGTTATACATATATATATCTATCGAGAGGGAGAGAGAGAGTAAAGTATGACTAGAGATTTGAGCACAATCAAATGAAAACATGAGTAATGTATATATATCGAAACAAGGATAAACGAGATAAAGTTCAAAGATTGAATAAAAACATTAGCCGGACAAAAAAGAAAAATAAAATGACAAGGAAGGAACACTGTTGAATGAAGCACATCAAAGGTTATTAAGACAACAGATACTATTATCATCATCAAGTGCATCGAATAAACCCTGAGACAGACGATGCACCCTTCTCTCCCCCTGTCTCTCTCCCCACGTGATCTCATGCGGATGCGAGCACCATAACTGCGCCTATGAGGTGGCGTATAAGAATATTCGTATAGTTATGCCATTGACATAGGTATGAGAGAATAACAGTATTAACAACAATAATAATAGTTACAAATAATAAAATTCAAACAAATTTACACTAGAGGTAGCCATTATAGTTTAGTGTTCTAGTGATGATAATGATGACGATGATGAATCACTGTGATACTACAAGAGACAACTACATACTAACTAAAAGGAAAAGATTAATCATGTGTGTACTGCGCAAAATGGATAAGAGAGGAATAATAACAATAATAATAGTAATGGTAACAATAACAGGTGCCTAAGAATACACAAAGAAGAAGAGAAAGGAATGTCTTAATTAAAGAAAACAAAGAGGAAACTCAACTAACATTGTCATATATATGATATGGAATGAATATTGATTGATGAGAAATAGGTAATGGCATATGTTCATGATTATACATATTGATAATATAGACATTGGCATAATATATATATATATATATATATATATATATGCAGGTGAGTGAGTAAGTGAATGACGGTTGATCACGAGATTATTCCTGACTTTGTCATTATTTTTAATATTGTGTTGGGTATATATATAATGTATGTGTATCATTAAATCCTGAGCTATAATTGAAATTAATTTTTTTTTAACGTGTCATTTCTTTCCGCCACCACACACACACCCCACCCCATCATTTATACTGAATTTTTAGATTTCACCAGTTGAGCGTTTAATGAACGAATACGTTTCAAGATACAATCTGCTGTAAGACGTGCTTCTGGATCATGATCCCAGCATTCAGTGATTGTTCGATAGAAGCTTGTCATCAACTAAATTAATTATGAGAAAGGTGAAAACACAAAAAAGACAAAAAAATATTATTATGTATTATTTTATGAGAAAAAACTATCAGAGAAGAAAGAAATTCAAATATGTAGTGATCTATGAAGTAGTTCATGTAAAAACCGAAACGGAGTAAACTGCAGCGATCATGTTATTGATCTTGTCGTTTAAATTCAAAAATGAAAAGTGGTTAGATCCAATTGTTAGGGTATAGTAAAACAACAACAACAACAAAAACACAGGAATTTAGCACACATTTAAATACAAAGTGATTTTCACTGCATAACAGAATATACATGTGATTGGAATAAATCAATAAATAATAAAACACAAAATAATCGATCGAAGAATATTCTTTTCGATAAATTCCTCTTCCGGCTCTACAATTATATATATATATATATATACACAGAATATTCCAAATTAGTAGTTAATAACAATATTAGTGTATTTTAAATAATATCAATTTGTAACGTATGATCAATGGAATTACAGTTCATGAAAGATGCTTAAATTATAATAATAATAATAATAATAATAATAATAAAAAGATATAGTAGCGAACAGAATATCAACTGAAATTAGGAAACCTAGATGGCCAAGGCAGTGATTATGTCTGAACTAGCTTCTTTTGGATGCATAAATTAGGCTTGTTAATATGGATGGATCCCCACAGCCTCAGCAATATTTAGTAGTCGAACTCTTAAGGCAAAATTGAGATTCGTAGGTATGCGGTAAATGATCCTGAAAGCATGGTTAACATCAATCTTGTGTTCTGTATCCACAAGATGAGACAGAATAGTGCTGCGAATAGATTTTGTTTGTCCTTTGCTTAACCAGGCAGGGTGATGTTCGGAAATTCGACGAGAAACACGCCTAATTGTACGGCCTATGTAACTGACTCATGCATTCAAAAGAAGCTAGTTCAGACATTATCATTACCTTGGCCATCCAGGTTTGAATAATCCAGAATTTTTGTGGAATTTTCCTAATTTTAGTTGATATTCTATTCGCTATTATATCTTTATTATTATTATTATTATTATTATAATTTAAGCATCTTTCATGAACTGTAATTCCATTGTGATCTTACTTTACAAACTGATATTATTTAAAATACACTAATATTGTTATTGACTACTAATCTAGAATATTCTATGTATATAAACATATATATAATTGTAGAGCCGGAGGAGGAATTTATCGAAAAGAATATTCTTTGCTCGATTATTTTATGTTTTATTGATGTCTGAATGAATATTTTTGCAATAAATAATAAACTGAGTAACAAACAAATCAATAAGTACTTGTAAGGAAATTCAACTTTTCTCCAGGTTTTTCCACTCATAAAGACAGAACTGCTTGGATAGGCAGCCTACTAGTTTGATTACTATTTTGGTTATATATATGACAATGAATGGTAGTGAAATTCAAGACTTATGTGTTTTATGTTCCTTGTCTAGATATGCTTTTATCTCAGAGAATGTTAACCTTGCTACTCACACTGGGGCTATGTATTCATTCACCTCGCCAAAAACTATCCACATTGTTCACAGGTTACTGTGCCACCTCTTCAACAACAAGTGTAATTATCTCATATTTCAGAGCTATTCACTTCAAATTTCAGCAAGAACGTCAACATGCATTGGAATACATGTAAATAGAGTAGACGAATGGTGAATGGTACGACATGTGTGTCGTTGCCTCTACAGATGGCCAATTATCGAATAACATAAATTACACAGGCAGTGCTTCTTTGAACTAACTGAGTGACAAATTGTAGGACTCTGTCTAATCAAGGTAGATATTCATCACTTTGAGATCAGTTTGGAAATCTTCTACACTCCATACCATAAAGAACAAAATTCGGATTTTCAACACCACTTTTTTAATTCACTTCTTCTATATGGATCAGAAACTTGGAGAACGCATCAAGAAAGGCATTTCCAACAGGATTCTACAGACTTTCATCAACAGTTGCTTTCACTGGCTCCATACTGAAGATCAAATGACCAACCAGAAAAAATTACCAACAAGAAACTCTGAGAACGAACTATTCCAGAAATTATTGCACAACAAATTTGCCGAAGAAAAATGGAAATGGATCGGACACACGCTAAGGAGACCGCTTGGGTGACATCACCCGACAGATAGGCCCTTGAATGGAATCCTAATAGGAAACGACAAGTTGGGTGTTGGTCCGAGGGTGACATGGAGAATATCGTGTGAGTCAGAGATGAAAGCTTATGGGTAATCGTGGGCCCAGCTAATGATGACTATAGAGAACAGGACAAAGTGGAGATGTACTCTTGAAGCCCTAAGTTCCACTCGGGAACAATAATATAATAGTAATCTAATCAGTGCGAACCACATGTTTATCACATAACAAAAAGGACTATCAATGCTTATCATCGGGGTTATCGCTTTATCGATAGTTTAGAAAATTAAGCATTGGGAAAAGCCATAAAGTTATTTTTTAATTAAAAAAAAGAGAACAGAAATCAACAAACAGATGCATAACTTACAGATGAATGACACCATGATGGATGACATATTGGACGATATTTTTCTAAACAAACCAATTGTTGTAAAGCAGCAGATGAAGTATGAAATGATCCTAGTTCTTTTTCATACGGTAGCCAATGATGCCGTTTCTTTGCTTTTCTATGCTCCGGCGTGTGATAATCCCTGTCTTCATTTAAATCATTGAAATCAAGGTGTACATCATTTGTCATATGGAAATCAGAACTAATCGATGACGTTGTCATATTCGGAACAGAGTCAATCAATTTCAAGTCTAGCTCATTGATATCATCACAATTTTCTTCTGGGAATTTTTCATAATCAACAGGTACACGAACAGATGTTAGCAATTCCCATAAAATTAATCCTAAGGAATATATATCTGTACGTAATAAAGCCCAACCGGTGAAGGAGATAGCTCCATCAATAATTTCTGGAGCTTGGTATCTTAAAGTGCCAGCCTATAAAAAGACAAGTACGTACGTTAGTGATAAACACAAAATAATTGTATTAAAGAACGGTTTTCAATGCATTGTATTTTATATAGTTCCCTTCTTTTACTTCAAACAGAAGCAAACGATTGAAACAGTTAGTCCCTTGCAGAAATATAAATAAGGCATTCAAAATCCCACCATTTTTTTCCTTCACGTTCCCCAGTGGAACATAGGGCTTCAAGCTAGTGGCTTGAAGTTTCTGTAGCAGTGTTTATTTTACAGGATGGGGTTGCTAGCCAGCCTCATGCCCAACCTTTCCTCTTCACCAGCATTATTTCTGGCTTAGCGAGGTATGGGAGTGCGTCGGCCGGGGATCGAACCCCGGACCATGTGGATGGTCGGCGAGCATCCTAACCGCTATGCCACCGACGCACAAATCCCACCATAGAATAATTTTATTTGATAAGAAGTGCAACAACTTTATTGTTCATAATCATTTCAAGATACTCACATAACTTCCAAACTTAATTCATATAACTCCATTATTACTTATCTTTTAATGTTATTGATAGTAGTATTTTACATATCTCTAGAATACCGGCAATGCATCATTCGTAATGCATGTGTTAGGTGTGGATTTGATGAACTAAAGATTCAATGATCAACATTTCCCTCCACTTAACTATGCTACCTTTTAATACTTTTATCCTATCTCATCCTACTATGTGATTGTGTGTTATCACATGACTGCCTGAGTGAGTTTCAAAGTAGAACTTTGAACAGAAGTACAGCAGTTCAAGATACCAAACTCCATGTAACATACGAAGATAGAAGAAAAAAAAACAAAGAAATTCAAAAGAACTGTAATGATCGGAAGTGTACACGAGAAAGAATAGTGACATGGAAAGACATGAGAACTTAATGATTCTGGGAGATTACAAAGGGTGAATGTATTTGCATCATTGAAAACCACTTTGAGTTGTTTCACCGATAGTCTGAAGTCATTGATTCTCAGCATCCCGATGATTCCTACCAGGCAGTCCCTACAAGTCCATATGTAACTCAGACCCACAGTCAAAGACTTAATGGATTGACAACGGGTTTCGGTTTGACTACTCGTAACTTTTTTTCCAAACTAATCATATGTCAGCTGACACATTGCTCGACAAAGGAACTGGTGGCTTGTCATACGTAGCCTGTATCTAGCAGATCGCATGTATGATCTGAATAATTTAGTTTTCCGAAGGAAATTGTGAAATTTCATGTCAAACTGTGTAAAATGCAAATTAATTTGCCAACTGCAAACTTGATTTATGGTGTATTGCCAGTTCGCCGAAGTAGCTAGACAGAAATCAGGTGGTTTCAACTGATTCGGCTCTCTCAGATGAGTTACACCGGGGACACCGTGGATGAGATCGGCTCCAAACGAGCGAAACGGCTATCCGGTGTTTAGATCACTTTGAAATAGCTAACACAAACACTACTGATTGATGTAAGTGGTATACAACTACTTATCTCAATCAACCAGAGTAGTATATAATGCCATTCTACACTTAGCTAAATTCTTATGGTTACGATAACCTCACTGATCCCTATCCACTGTCCTGACCTATGTAGATGAACTCAAATTCACAGTGAGGTATTTTGTAGACTAAGTTATTTTGTCTTATTGGGTCAATAGGGTCCTTCAGTGTAAACAGCTGAAAAGTATTATAGGTAGGTAGGGTATAGGTGGAAGCAGACGTTGATCATGAAATCTACACCTAACACATGCAACTGGAATGACGCAACGCCGATACCCGGGAGCTATGGAAAATATCGCCGCCAATTAAATCAAACGATAAGAAATTATGGCAATGTATGTGAATGCCTTGATATGACTTATGAGCAGTAGTGTGCTCAAAAGGTAATCGGTAAATAATAATACTGTATTACTGGCCTTTCATAAAATAAAACTGTTCTATGATGGAGTTATGCCCTACCACAGAGCTCACGTTTTATTCTTATATAAATGAAGGCAGTTCAGAAAACAAATATATTGTGTGATGACATCATTTCGTTGTTTCTCTACATTTGTGTTACAGATAGCATGATAGACAATATAATAAAAATGTTACAAAAATAAACCAAATATTATTTTATGAGATATATAAAATATTTTAATGTCAAGTGGCAAAGTAATTAATGTCGTATATAGAATAATACATAAGGTGTATAGATTTTGGAAAGGGGTACATAATTATAAGATTAGTAGACGAATATAAAATGTTACATAACATGGTGTGAAATTAGATAAGATAGAATTCAATATTGACGGATCTCTCAAAAGATCTATCCACCGGAAACGTACATGGAACGGACAACTAACTAATTTTTACAGTTGGGTGCCTATTTCCAGGAAAAGGAACCTAATTCATTCGCTCTGCTTTAGGATAAGGAAAATTTGTAGTTCTGATTGCGTTGACTCAGAACTTGACTTCTTAAAAGCTACGCTCGCAGAAAACGGTTACCCTAACCGATTTATTGACAGCAACATGAAAGACAAGCAGTCTAAATTGGTCACCGACACAGTTCCAAAGAAAACCTTATTCATGAACTTGGAATTCAAAGGTGATCAAGCTTCAGATATGCTCGAAAATCGTCTCTTTAAATCAGTCAGTAATACATATGCAGCAAAATTACGTATGACGTTCACTAGCCCCAAGTTGTTCTCTACCTCTGTAAACGATAAGCTACCCCGTCTGGCCGCCTCCATGTGCATCTATCAGTTCACCTGGTCTTGTGGAGCAAGGTACATTGACCGTAGCCAGAGGACGCTTTCCACACGGATACGAGAACATATTCCATCTGCATGGTTTTACAAGGGAGAAAGGAAGTGTGTGCGAAGCTCTATTCTGGAACACCTGATCGACTTTTGTCACTCTGTCAACCCTGACCATGATTTCAAGATCATATATAGAATCCATGCTAACTTCCCGCGTTTTCTTCGTTACAGACTTCTAAAGACAGCTGAGGCCTTGGCAATTCATGACTTTAAGCCAGACCTTTGTGTACAAAAGAAGTATGTACAATCCCTACTTCTGCCTTGGCCGTAGAGGGATAGACATTTATTTATTTTGTTTATTTAGTTATTTTATGTACTTTTCCCTTATTACTACGATCATTATAATTATCATTATTATTATTACTGTTCTCACTCTGAATCTTTTCCATTTGACATTTTAAACCCAAAATTATTAATTTTTATATTTTTATTTTTACAATATTGAATTCTATCTTATCTAATTTCACACCATGTTATGTAACATTTTATATTCGTCTACTAATCTTATAATTATGTACCCCTTTCCAAAATCTATACACCATATATAAAATATATTTTTTACTTGGAAGAGTATGTCAACTTAATCTAAATATAATGCATCACTAACATTCATTCGAAAGTGAATACAGTCTCCGCATGTTGCATTATATGAACAACTGGTGCATCAGAAAAGCTTGAATATGGTAAACACTGACGACTACACTTATGTGTGGAGGTTATTCACTTAACGAAATGTGAAAATGCATCATGCACATTTTTTAAAAATGTAGTTATGTTCTTTGAGCTGGATGGTTTACTTGAGAAACTCTCATCGCCTTACTAGGCAATATCTTCAGCGCATACTTCAATTTGAAGTGAGCTCTTAAATTTCTCCACGAGTTTATTAGTCATCTCTCCTGGTGACCTGGAACGTGGTTGGTTGCTTTTGTGTGTTTTCACACCCTTTAATATCTACGTGTATTGGTAATTAACTATTTCAATGACTTGAATTTCGACTTTTTGTGCATGAGATTTTCCTCTTATGGAATGATAAATTTTATCTACGTCATTGTTCCTGTTAATTGCCGATTCACTGGAATACCAGGCTTCTAAAAATTCTCTAGCATTCTTGGTGTTTCCTTTACATAATATTTGAACGTTGTCCCAGTCCCATTGATGTCCATAGTTGTCTGTATGCAGCGATATGAGGGAGTGGGTGTCATGGCTTTTGACGACTAGTTTACGTTCATGGATGCGAAGACGAAGATGGCGTCCACTTTGGCCAATGTAGTGTTTTTCGCAGTCGTTGCAATTCATATTGTAGATGATGTTGGCTTTATCTTCTTTCGTTGTTGAGTCTTTTGGTTGATACATAGGTGAGTGAAGTGATTTTGTTGGTTAGAGGAGTCTTGCAGTGATTTCGGAGACGTCCTTTATATATATAGTAAGATGATTTTCTTTGTGTTTTCCTTGGGGTTCTTTGATTTAGTTGGTCGGTTGGTTGGTTTGGGGGCAAATATCTTTTGATGAAGTTTCATGGATATCCATTCTTTTGGAAGACATCCATGAGATATTTTTCTTCAATTTTCCTTGAAGTAGGAGTGCTGCAATGAGAGCCAGGACTCATTGATATAGATAAAATTTACCAATCCATAAGAGGAAAATCTCATGCACAAAAAGTCAAAATTCAGGTCAGGGGAATAATCAATACCAATACAAGTAGATTAGAGGGTGTGAAAACAGACAGGAGAGATGACTAATAAACTCGTGGAGAAATTTAAGAGCTCACTTCAAATTGAAGTATGCGCTGAAGATGTTGCCTAGTAAGACGATGAAAGCTTCTCAAGTAAACCATCCAGCTCAGAGAACATAACTAATTCCAAATCATCCACCTCAGCTGCAAATCTTCTCTATTATTTCAACAATTAGGAGTGTTGGGTAGGAAAGCCTTTCGAGGCAATTACATCGAAACTACTGGAATAATCAACATGGGTAATAATTACTAGTTTCAGATAAGTAAGAAACTGTAAACTGATTGAAGACCACACAATAAAACCACAAGACTGATTTAGATAGCATAATAAGTGATGCGCATTTATCACTTGCTATAACATCCTGCTAAAATGCTGAAAACATATTTTCCTATCTATTGTTCATGATATACACGCATGTTAAACAGTCTACGTGGAATAGTGATTACGCCTGTGCTGTCAACTAAATATTTCTGTAAAAAAGCAGACACAAAGAAAGAGATTTAACTCTCTATACCGGAAAATACGTGTGATCATCAAAACAATTAAGCAGTTTGAACAAGGTGAATTCTGTACATGAGTACAAACAACAGTATACAATACTCCTTCCAAATACAAATCAATGATAAACATACCTTTGGCAAAGACTCCAATGCTGAACTAACTGAATATGTTGTAGTCAATACATCTTGTAATGATGTTCTACAAGAATTATTCGATGTTGGACTATTCGGTGGAATCTCTGCCAAACAAATAGACTGACCAAAATCTGACAGACAAACACTACCATCATCACGGATTAATATATTCTCTGGTTTTAAATCACGATGAGCTACTGGATATTTAGGAAAGATAATAGTACGACCATTCAATTGTTTTTTATTCACCAAATCACTATGAAGAAATCCCAAGCCTTGAACAATATCATCAGAAATTTTCAGGATACGTCTAAATGATAACCAACTACCATTTGATAAAAGTTGACGTAATGAACCAGATGAGGCGAATTCCATTACTAAACGATATTCTGTAAGCGAAGATTGACACAGTTGAACCTGTTTTGTTTTTTTAAATAGGAGGGAGAGAGAGAAAGATATTTCAAAAATTACTGTTGGCTAATCTCTTTAAAGCTAAAAAAATGAAATAACAACGAACTTTTTAGGATAATATAATAAAATTAAAACACAAGGTTATTTTGCTCCTCATCGATTATTCCGACTGCCTGTATAATTTGTATCTCGTTTCTATTTTCAGTATGCTATTATTCTATTGATAAAATGAACTGACTATACACAGTTAGAATATGTCGAAATAATGTCACACTGTGTCGAGTGCTACTGATAAGATTTATCAGTAGTATATAAACAGACGTTCATTGGCATAAAAAGCATCAAATAACAGGAAGATAGATTTGACGTCAAAGATAGCAAATGATTCAGCGTTGCGGATATGCATGGGAGAATTGAAAGGAACACAAAGAAGCACAATATGAAGGCTAGAAGTAGTACAACACGAAAGATCTGTGCAAATTGTGCGTTGAAGATAAGGTGTACATAATTTCGCTATATAAAAAAAACCGGTGTTCTAAATATGAATACCGTTGTCAGATCTCTTTTCCTCTATCGCTTTACCAATAATCACTCGTACAACTTATTATTCAGGGTATATACAACTGATGACAAATTCTATGAGATAAAATGAATTCACATTCTCCTCTGGAAAAGCTGTTCTTATTACATGTTACTCGAATTTATCAGGCGGAATGATTGCATGAAGGTTAGAACTATTGACGACTAACTGTCAGAGAACAAAATATGAAAATGGATGACAGTTACGATTATATTCATATTCATAGTTCTGATTAGGACAGTAACTTTCTATACGGAGTCACAGAATAGCAACTGATAGGAAGCATCAGTTGACAGAGATTTGCACAGATTATTACAAATTAGTAATGAACAAGTTGAAATGCTAAGCTAAGCAAAATCACTTACATAATATCGGGGCAAACAAGGCAAAGATGGAAGGGAAAAAAAATAGAAATACGACTATTAAAAGTTAACAGAAAAAGTAAGCCACAAAAAGCAGTCGGCGATAACCTTGGGAAAGTCGATCTCTCTCTTTCCTTTCTCACAGTAGTAAAAGTGCATCTCATGGGAAACGATACGATTGTCCCAATCAGTAAATAAGAAAGACAAAACTATCAAGGGTGTTATAAAGAATAAAAAAAAATAACCGGCAAGTGAAGACGAGTGACAGACTGCAAAAGCAATATGAAACTTTACATTTTTGTTCACTGATTCAAATTACCCAACATGACTTAAGCCAACAGTTAATGACTGATGTTAAGATACTAACGACAAGAAGAACTGGCGCGTAACAAACTTTAAGTAAGTAATGAATAAGTATATGAGTAAATAAAAGTCATTCCGACGACATCACCCATTTTAAGATTAATAGTCAAAGCAGTAATGCAGTAACTGTAAATCTGTGGTACATTCTTTAATCTTCTGCATTCCGAGTGGAGCATAAGGCGCCACCAACAACTTCCCTCCCTGTCTTTAAGCTAGGAGTCGATGTAGTCTAGTCCAGTCCTGTAGCACCATCTTACATTAGACGGGAGTGAATTGTAAACCAAACATTCGAAGATTGCTGCCTGTCAAAGTGTTCAGAAGACTAGCATTTTGTTAGCATCTTCATCTAGAAGGACTATATCATCTGCATATTCTAAGTCAGCGAGATTATTCCCTGGTAACAAGTCAATCCTTGAGTCGCTGAAGTTCTGGATTCTGGACTTCTCCCAACTACAGATGGAACTATACAAAGATATACTCATTGTTAAAGAATTCTAGAATGGACTATATCTCAAGTTTAATGCTTTTTTTTCAAATATCCACAGAAAGGTCTGGTGAGAACATTATTCTACCTCACTGAAAAACTTTTTTCGAAAAAAGACTTAATGATGAAACCGTCATTATTGAGAATTGTTTAAGAGACAATGGATATCCCCAACCGATAAACACAAGAGAGTATCAAATTCAAAAGCAACATTTGATACAATTATGAAGAAACCAGTGTTCCTCGATCTTCGACTCAAAGGTGATGAAGTATCTACAATAACTAAATATAGAATAAATGCTGCTCTCAAGTGAACTTATCCAGCTGCCAGGTTAGTCACAATTTACAGAATAAAATGCTGATTGAGAAAATCTAAGATTGACAAGTCACCCACTTGCATGTTACCTCCCGACTGCATATACAAATTTACGTAAATATACCTAAGCGCATACATCAGACGAACAGAAAGAAGGGTTTGTGAACGCATATCTGAGAACATTCCAAGAAACTTGCGTCTGAAGGGCACAAAAGTCCTTATTGGTGTGATTGCTCGCCATCAGTAAGACAACAGGCATGAAATCGACACATTAAAATTCTTCAAGATCATTAAAGTTCAAGACAGTCCCAGGTTCATGCGGTATTGCTGAAGCGATTGTCACTAAACGATCCAGAAAGAAACTGCTATTGATCTTGCCTTAGTTAATATACTTTAAATTATTTTAATTTTGTTGTTTTGATTATACGTTGTTCACTCCTTGCTGTCTCTTAGATTCTGAAACTCCTCACTAATGTTTACTTGAATGATTTTTCTTTGTCTTACACCCATGTTCATTCAAGGAATTATTTAATATCAAAGGTGGTAACTTGAATTGATGAAAAGTTCTACGTCAGTTTGTCGGCCAGTCAGACAGTCTACTTTCCACGTGCATTGACTGGAATTTGTCGACTAAACATGCAATAGATATATCCATCCGGCTGACTGACTGACACCTACTGTCTATCCATCTATCGATCTATCTGTCTAACGGAGATAACAGCGACAAAATTTCCAAGTTCTATACATCCTTGTTAGGTTGAATGTCTTTGTTTATTTATAGTTAGGAAAAGAGACAATAAAAGAGCAGGAGGCAATAAGAACAGTCTCATTTTGTTGTGTGTTTTTTTAAAAAAAATAAATGAATGAAAACAAACAGTATCGTATGAAAAGTTAGTTCAGCACAAGCACAAAGCGAAAAAGGAGGGCAAAACAAAGCCTAGTTAGAAAGCCAAACAAAAAAATAAAATAAAATAAATTAAACAGTATGGAAAATGAAAACAAAGCAAAATCATGAAATAAATAATAATTCTACAATAGAAGAGATGATTGATTTGAGCGTTCTATAATAACACTGACAGCAGAAAAACAACAACTGTAGTTTTGTGTGTTTTGAATGACAGATTAATGAAAAGGAGACAGAAACAGCCTAATTGCAATTTTTTATTTTTGAAGGGTAGAAAAATAACGAAAATCACAACAAACTTCTTCAAAAACCCAATTGGAGGATAGACTTAAACCTTTTTTAGTAGCTGACCAGTTAGTCAGTTAGTTAGTTAGTGATAGTCAGTTTTGCATGACATGTGGAACACACATTGGTACATGAACAAAGGATTATGTGTTCATTTGCACACACACCTCAGAAGTTAGGCATACCTATTTTTTTTTTTACAAATTAACAACTAACATAGAGAATGGTAGATTAAATAAGTCATTTATCAACAGTCCACTTACAGTGATTTCAGTTGTTTGAGCAAATCTCGGTATGTATGCAAGCGATTCAATCCTGTCAAATGCAAGATGATTCTGCAGGACTGGTATTTACTGACTTCAAGCTTAAAGATAAGGAGTAAAGTGGTTGAGTATCTTGACTACTTCACTTATTTCGGAAGTTACATCAGCCCTAATGCAGTGATTGCAGTTAAATCGATTGAGATGGCTAGGACGCGTGTTGCACATTCCGAGCCATCAACTTCCTCAACGAGTAGTGTTAGCCAATGTAGGATTAGGTTGGAAAAGAGACAGATGTAGCCAAATCAAAACCTGGTATCAGTCCATAAACTCTATGACAGCTAGTTTGAGCCACTTAGGGAGATGTCAACTGATTGGTAAGCTGACATAGGGTCAGGTTGGAAAAGAGCCAGTGGTGGTCAAACTAAAACATGACTTCATCACTCAATGAAATCCACAACATTTAGTTTAAGCCACGTAGGAAGATGTAGACTTCATGGTTGGGGTCCTCGGGACGGTAAAAACCAATGGCTGGAGACAATTGGTGATATGGCTCAAAGTGATCGTTCTCAATGGCTGGCGCAGATGCATCCACTCCTTGAGACTTATAATATCCAATAAAATGATATTGTTTTCCCATATTATTATTCCTTTTGCCTCATATCTCTGTTTACTGTCTCTATTATGCATTTCTTCTGCTTTCTTCTCTTGCTTTGTGTACTACATGGAGTGTGGTGACTTGAACTGCCGCACATAGGTGCAAAGTTCTATGTCGAAAACAGACAGACAGACAACTGCTTGGTGGGGATCGTCGGGATGCTATGAACCAATGACTCTAGACTGTTGGTGAAATAACCCGAAGTTGTTTTCATGTGCTGAAAAAGTGAGTGAGTGAATGAGTCATATTTTAAGAGAACTTAACTCTTTTGCTTTGTCTATCCGAGATTATAGAAGTGTCGTTGATTGACTGTAATACTTGACTTGCATTCTCACATGAATAGAAGGAAGTCATCAAACAGTGTTATCAGACCTCAATTTCAAATAGGCATACATTACAAAATAGTTATTTCAAGGCTCTGAGGCTTACTCCTCCTCTTCTTGAAATGCTTCAGTAAAAATTATGTTAAAAATGAAGTTATTAAAAGTATATCTGAAGCACTTACCGATCCTGCCCCCAATAATAAAACAATATTAGGATGTCCAATATGTTTCAACATTTGATTGATACTGTTTACATCACATGAATTTATGCCGCCAATTGTACAAGTAGGAGTAGTTGTACTAGCAGCAGCAGCAGCAGTGGCGGCATTAGTAGTAGTAATAGTAGATGGAGAGGGTGTAATAGAAGAAAATCGTCTGTTTATCGCATGAATAGCCTTGAAAATACTTAATTCTGTTCTCCAAGATTCATATTCACTAGAAGTGAATGTTTTCACAGCCACAGGCATAGAAGGTTCATCAATAACAGAATGATCATCATTAACTGATGAATTCCCCTGTAGATTAATTGATGAATCAGTTGTTGATAATAATAAAGGCGAGGTAGTTTCATTCAGATGCATACCTTTTGCTTCTGCACATTCTTTAGATGAGATTTTCGATTGAGAAGAGTCACTTTTGACACTGGATTGGATAAATAAAGCAAGGGGAAAAAAAGCATTGAGTAATGATATACAGTTAAACGGGGAAAAAAAAGCAAAAGATCATTTTGCGAATGAAGAGAATTATAAACACAGCTAGGCATAGTCCCCAGGCAAAGCAAGAAACTCATTAGCAATGCCCACCCACCGGGTGTCGGACCCAGGATCTGTCGGTCAGAAAACAAGCTCGTATACCATCATGAATTCTAACTTCTACCAATTCATGATTTTAGCGCGACAACCAGCCAGTGTCAGTGGCGAGTATCTGTCCTCACTCTCGAATGGGTGGACCCCACTGGTGACGATTTCTCACCAGAACTCCAGGCAACTTTCTTCTACATCCAGTCACTAGCGAGCATTAGATTAATTTTCAAGAGTTTGTTTGTACGGATTTGATTTGTTTCATGTTTGACCACGAATTGATATCAGTTAGAGATCGCCTTGTAACCGGAAGGTCCTGGGGTTAGAAACCTAGTGGGTGCGTACTACGGATGAGTCTGAATCTAGGAAGAAACAGCTGTCCAGTACGCCGTAGTTTTCAATGGTTCTCTAACTGACATCATCAGCAAATAAATAACACTACATATTACTGTGTACTACATGAAATAGTATTACCCAGTAATGGAAATATTTACGACCACAGTGCCCCAGTTCCACTTAAGTTTGCATTACGTCACTGAGATGAAATTACATTGCGCATAGTTTTTTTCAAGATAACGTAACGCATTAACCCTATACTATACATGTACTATAGTACTATACATGTTATACATATCTTTACCTTGTAACTACACAACCTTTAGGGGTGGAAAAGATATTAGGTATTAAGTAAACTTTTTAAAAAGACAGCTATTGTATTTCAAATTTGATCACAAGTTAACTTCACCTAGAGAACCATTGAAAACAAGAGGGTACTGAATAGTTTTTTCATCCTAGTTCATGGCTCTCTTCATCAGTACACACCTACGACTCATGAATTTTAAACTTCTGCTAATTCGCGGTGCTACTGTTACCTTATTTTATTCCTAAGTGGTTATCTGTGAATTGATAGTTCAGAAAATGAGACCAAGTGACTGACAGGTTCATAGAACTTGAACTTTTTACTTTTTGTCATGGAGGATTTCATCATGAGCTGACATCAGTTAGAGAATCACTGGAAAACCTGGGAGTACTGGACAGCTGTTTCGTCATAGTTTGGGACTCTTCATCAGTATGCACCCACACGGGTTCGAACCCAGGACCTTCTGGTTACAAGTCGTGAATTGGCAGAAGTTAGAATTCAAGGACCATTGGATCGGGTCCCAGTGGCTCAATGGTCTACGAGCTAGCTCGCCTTGTAACCAGAAGGTCCTGGGTTCGAATCCCGGTGGATGCGTACTGATGAAGAGTCCCAAACTAGGACGAAACAGCTGTCCAGTACTCCCAGGTTTTCCAGTGGTTCTCTAACATTTATAATTCACTCGTATAATCATCATATAACCGGATATGTCGAAGAAAGAAGAAGGGAGAAGAAGAAGCAAAAGGGATTGGGAAATAAAGACAAATATCAGTTGGATCAATAGAGATTAGACGATCGATTTATGGCATCGGTAAAAAACAAATGAGAAATATATATATATATGTATATGCAGAGAGACAGAGTCACATGTTTTCCTCTGACAAAGTAATTTTGTTCAAATGAAAAAAAAACTACAAAAGGAAACACGAGTAGGATTTGAAGGAGAGGAGAAAGAAATATATTCTAAACTTGATAATTTATATTTTTTTTCGCTTTTTGTTTCGCATTGTAACTGTTGCCTGCAAACTCAATCAATTCGCTTTGTACACCCGATTTCATTTGTTAGATAATAAAAATAAAACAAAAAAGGGAGACTGTCCGAAACTAGAGACTGAATGATAGATTGTTCTTCCTTCTTCTCAAATTATGTAAAAAATAAACCCAAGGATATAGGTGTAGTGAACACTATTAATATCAGATCAAGTCTAGTTGCCAATCCAACTAGCTGTCGGGTAACATCTTTTTGTTATCTTCAATTTTAACTACTACTAGGTCAAAAGGATGAATGATAAATTCGTTAATAATTTAGTAATAATATCTTTATTCTGTTCAGAATTTTCATCTTGGTCTCGTCTATTTCCTATATGGAATCCTCAGGTAAAACAGCAATCTACAGTGTTATATTATTCGATGGAATTTTGTTCTAACTGTGACATGTTCTGACCCCCCACCCCCGACGTATTTTTCCTGCCAATACAAACTAAGAGGTAAGTTGGAAACAATTCGAAAGTGCACGTGAGTAAAGATTCTTCTTCAAAGAGGTAACACAGGTGGTTAAAACAAAGTACAACTGAACAGATTCAACGTACTGTGCTCTGTGAAAAGTCAGGTAGCCCAATGATACAGGCAAGTAGTCACCGTATCATGAAATGAAGTCTATGTTAATAAATGAATCTGATCTGAATCTTGCTATCAATCGGATGTTTGATCAATACTACTACTAGCAAACTGAAAGAAATTTTCACTAACTTCAAACTTCGAATTTCACCTCCTCAACAATGAAGCTAGAAGTTTTACCTCGGAATCACAAATTACTAAATCAACACTTATGTTAATAACACATGGATTAACCAGTGAATGGTGGGCAATGCCTAAGCATGTTATGCTACATAACATGCTTAGTATTAAACTTCTGATACTACTTTCTATATTCCATGTGAAGAAAATTCTCCAACCGATGTCAGCTCATGAAAAATTTCTGAAACCAATCAAATCCCTACAAACCAACACTTGATGCTCACTAGCGACTGGCCCTATTCAGGTAGGTTTTAGTGAGAAGTCGTGACCAATGGGGTACAACAGGTCGGGTCTAAGGGCATATACTCTCCGATGACACTGGCTAGTGATCGCTGTCAATCATAATTGACTATGGAATCAATCACCGTTTTTTTTTTCATTCCTTGCGTCCCCAATGGAAATTAGGGCTTAAAGCTTTTGGATTTCTAAGTGGCAGTGATGTCATTTTCATGAGTTGGGATTGCTAACCTCATTTTCAACCTTCCCTCTTGTTACGGGCTTATTTACTATCGGTTAGTGTATTAGACTGTGCGTCGGTGGCACAGCGGTTAGGACGCTCGCCAACCATCCACATGGTCCGGGTTTCGATCCCCGGCCAACGCACTTCTTTACCTCCCTAAACCAGAAATAAAGCTAGTAAATGAGGAAAGGTTGGGCATGAGGCTGGCTAGCAACCCCATCCTGTAAAAATAATCACCACTGCTACAGAAACTTCAAGCCTCTAGCTTGAAGCTCTAGATTCCACTAGGAACGTGAAGGAATAAAAAGAAAAGTGTATTAGACAAGGTTCAGGAAGGAGTGGATCAACCGGAAATCGAACACGGACTGTGTGCATAGTTGGTGAGCCTCCTACCAGTGGAACATCAGTCATTACTTTACTTTGATTATATAACTAACATAAACTACAAAAAGGAGCTGTTTGCTTTAGTCACAAACAAAAAGAAACAAAAATAGCTGTGAAACAAATTCCTATTGTGACAAGTGTAAACAACTTCTTTTTTTTAAATTTTCATCACTAACAACACATTTAGCTTAGTTGAACACATATCTCACAATACAATGAGAAAAGAAAGAAAGGAAAAAATAATCCTAATGAGGGAAATGATATTAGTTTGTTGTGATGGTGATTTGTTGACAGGGTTTTCTTTCGCCTGCCTCATTAGTAGTTACTTGTTAACAAAACATACATACGCACACGCGCGTACTTTAGAGAAAAAACTCAGAGCAGAAGAAGAAGAAGGAAAAACATTCATGTTTACAACAACAAGGCAAGTTATCGACGAAAAATAGATGCTTACAGATAAGAAAACATACACACGCACTCATACTTGCTTAAAGTTTGTTTTCTTTTTCTATCATAATAAATAAAACCACCTAAAGTTTTTAAGTAATTTCAAACAAAATAATACGAAGTATTAGTTGAGTGAGCACACACACACAAACACACACGCACGCCGCACATACGCACACACATCGCACACACTTGACTTCCTTTTTTAGTATCCAACCACCTTATTATTGATCCTAAACACTGATCAGATCAGGCTAATGCATATACTTGTTTAATTGAATATTTTGTTGCTATTGTCTATGAATGACACGAATAAAGAAAAAAAATTGATCACAATGACGTAGAGCTACACAATGTTTATCATGAAATCTTTGTGCAGAAAAATACAATCAACTGATATAAAACATACCTCAAGTAATCTCATGTTCAAGTATGGGGGGGGGTAGATAAAGTGAAAGATGACGACATTTTTTGTGCCAAGTGCTGTGCTGTGTGTTGTTGTTTTCTTGTTTGTTTGTTTTTTTTACTTATACCTACCTACCTACCTACCTCCTCTGATATCACACTTATTTCACACTGATAAACGAAGAAATAGTAAGAGAGAGAGAGAGAGAAGAAATCAATTCTTACTTGAAAACAGATGATAATATTGGTGAAATAGATAGGCTAGAATATTCTACGAATTATAAAGAGTTAAGTTTTATGATTCTAGATGGAAGTGAAGCTGTCAAGCTGTCTCAGTTTATATTATTATTCTCTTAGGTTCCGAGTGAAACACATAGGACTTGAACAGTACGCGTCTCTGTTTTATTCTATTCTCTATAGTCGGCGACCATACCACGTTGAAAGCACCGGTTCTCGTCCGATCACCGAAGTTAAGCAACGTTGAAATCAATAGACGAGACTGTGAAATTACATCGACTGAGATGGTTAGGACATGTGCTACGTATGCCTAGTCATCGCCTTCCTCGACAGTGGGCAATGTTAGCTGATATAGGGCCAGGCTGGAAAAGAGCTAGCGGCGGTCAAACGAAAACATGGCCTCACCAGTCAATGAAATCTACAACAGTTAGTCTAAGCCACGTAGGAAGGTGTAGACTTCCTGGTTGGGGTCCTC